TATTTATTAGCAGCAGGTAGTCTGTTCTTGCTGTTGGTCCCTCACCACACTGTCTCCAGCGGTTTAGCAGTGTGGACTTAATTAAATATTAACTAAAATTAATCAACAAATTATTTTAATAAACCGTTGACAGACTTGCTAACTTCATACCTCATGGAGGATAACTGTGGATGTTCTAGCTCAGTGTTACATACTGTAGCAAAAGAGACAATCAACAGTTTGTGTGGTTTTCCTACCCTAACATAAAGCATCACATGTCTCTAAGGGATTTGAACAATAAAGGATAACAGCTTTTCATTCTGTGCACGTTTAAAATCCGTCTTCATCAGGTCTACTCTGTTTTAAAGAGGAACAAAAGATTTTCTTTCTCTTCTTCACGCTGACCTTCGAGCTACATGCCTGGATGCTTTGTACACTGTCAAATTGTTAAAAGATGACTTAGAATTATTGTTTCAGACCACCGAGTGAGGTTACCAGCAGATGATCCAACAGGAACAATTTGTTATCCACTGTATATCCAGATAAGATTTCTTATCTTTGACATCATGCTAGAATTGATAACGGGCTGGGCTGTTGCTGGGATTGTTTGTTTGGGTTTTTTTTCTGAAGAATTGTCAATACGAACACTCTTTGTGGAAGTTTTATAGACGGTGGGTACATAAGGCAACATTTTTGGTTTAAATGAGACTGTCAAAGTACTAAAAGTTACTTTATAGTTCTCTTTGAGAAAGTGTACTATTCTTTAATATTTCATCTTGTTTTTCTTCTCTCACATTTATCCTGCAGAACAGTTTAGAATTGCATCTGTTTTCCTTGAGTCTGCCAAGCCCAACTGTCACATAAATCTTGGATAAAAAGAAGAAGATTATCATCATTACAGCCTTTTGGCTGTGTTGTATAGAATGAGTAAGAAAAGTGTTTCAGGTAGCTGATGTGTTAGCTTGTGCTTTTTCAAAGATGTTTTAGGCATGAAGAGCTATAGTAGTGCCAGAAAATCCCTTATTCCAATAAAACATCAGGGGCAGCAGAATCAAATGCAGTAGGACGAGCTGATTTTAGAGAAAATGTAGAACTTAGCTGTCAAATAGAATGCCATGATTAGTCAACTGGAAGGCTCGTGTTTAAACAGGTATCTGACAGTTTCCTGATAGTAAATCATGATATAATTTGACCTGGAACATGCTAAAATGCTTTATAGAATAGCCAAAGTCCTATTTTTAAGTAACAAAATATAAAATACAAAAACACAGCAAAAGTCTTATTTAGATGTCCTAATCGTCCCTGCAGAGTAATCTTCATGTTCCCCTTGCCTCAACTGCGCAGAAAAGAACCAGAGGTCATTGCTGGTATTTAGAGTTGAGTCTTTTGGGTCTCACAACCAGAATCGTCATTAACATGACTTTTTTTTTTTTTCCTTCAGGAAAATGTTTGGTAAAGCCCCAGTCGCACAGGCCTGGGCCCACCATGATTGAGATGTTGGTGCTATCACTAATAAATCTGAGGTTAAAATAACATATTATCAGTATAACAAATTAAGCCATCTCACTACAGTGTAAACTCAGCTCTCAGTCCCTGTTGTTGAAAGAATAATCCCAAGCTTGGCATATTTGCCTCGAGGGCAGGAAGACGAGGAGCACCTTTTTGTGAATTTTTTTTGACAGTTTAGTGAGTCGTCACAAAATGACGGGAACTGCATCCTGTTCGAGCCGATAAGACGATAGCAATGATAATCAGCTGTTCTGCAGGAAAGGATGGGGGAGGAAACGAGATGATGCCAAAATGGCGTCCATGCTCTTCATCTTTACTGTGTTTTGTACA